AACATGGTGTGCTTCTAATATTCCCCCCCCGGGTCCAGCGATCACGTCTGAAGCTGACAGTGCCATATCATTTTACAGAAGGCTGACAGTGCCGGGTTCTCCTGGTGACGGCACATTAATACTCCCGCAGCCTCTAATCAGGCCACCGTGTCAAAAGATTATTTTAAGACCTGGCAAAACGGCTCCAAAAGACACAAAAATGGCCCAGCCAGCGACAGAAAATGAGTTCATTGCTATAATTAGTTTCGCAGCCACCACCCCCTCTCCCCAATTTCATTTCTTTGGCCTTGGAGGTTGACCAAAGATAATGAATGCTGAGTTTTTCTCATTAAAGACCTTTGTGTGTGTGTGTGTGTGTGTGTGTGTGTCAGACCTCCCATCATCAGCTTCCTTCACACACACACAGAAGGCCCAGTCACAAAACAAACCCTGTACAGGTCAGAGGTCATAGGGGATGATATATTTTTGCTGACCACCACCAGGTTGTGCTGCAATCAGGGCTCCCTGTAGAGAAAGACACGATGGAGAACATTTATCACTGTCTGTGTTCTAGATGGACTTCATCGGTTCTCCGAGACCACCATGATGTCTTGTTTATGTGTGTGGCAGATGTTTACACTCTGCAGAACCTCTGTTTCTCTGTGGTGGAGCGAGTCTCTCTCCAACATCTATCTGATCTGCTGAAGAGAGAAACTCCTGAACACGCATCATGTCTGTGGTTGTTGACCAATATACTGCCGTTGCTGATATTTATCAGCCTTGTTTTTGGATGGCCATCACAAAATCTGTATTGGTTGAGCACTATTCATGCGCACTTGCCTCTGTTACAGTTTTGCATTTTTACTAGCAATGAACAATATGTCGGTACCACTTCAATTATTGGCCAGTATTATTTTAATATACATGTCTCTAAATTGGTCATTATTGCATATGTATATTTATCTGCCAGATGTACATTATAATTGTGTAATCTCTTGCAAACCTCAAGATGAATATCCATTTTTTCATACTATACATTTAAAATGGCTAAATTCAAAAAAACATTTGATTTCATTAATTTTATTCATTCTTTTAATATCATTCATTCATTCTTTTAATATCATTCATTTTTATAATGTCATTGCATTCATTCATTCATTCATTCTTTTAATATCATTGCATTCATTAATTTATTCATTCATTCTTCATTCATTATTTTAATATCATTGCATTCATTCATTCATTCTTTTAATATCATTGTATTCATTCATTCATTCATTCTTTTAATATCATTGCATTCATTCATTCATTCTTTTAATATCATTGCATTCATTCATTCTTTTAATGTCATTGCATTCATTCATTCATTCTTTTAATATCATTGCATTCATTCATTCATGCATTCTTTTAATATCTTTGCATTCATTCATTTTTTTTCAATATTATTGCATTCATTCATTCATTCATTCTTTTAATATCATTGCATTCATTAATTTATTCATTCATTCTTCATTCATTATTTTAATATCATTGCATTCATTCATTCATTCTTTTAATATCATTCATTTTTAATGTCATTGCATTCATTCATTCATTCTTTTAATATCATTGTATTCATTCATTCATTCTTTTAATATCATTGCATTCATTCGTTCATTCATTCTTTTAATATCATTTCATTCATTCGTTCTTTTAATATCATTGCATTCATTCATTCATTCATTCTTTTAATATCATTGCATTCATTCATTCATGCATTCTTTTAATATCATTGCATTCATTCGTTCTTTTAATATCATTGCATTCATTCATTCTTTTAATATCATTCATTCATTCTTTTAATGTCATTGCATTCATAATTCTTTTAATTTCATTGCATTCGTTCATTCATTTTTTTAATCTCATTGCATCAGTAGTTTATACCTCTGCTCTAGTTTCGGCACTACTCTAACTAGATTAAACTTGAATCTTGCCATTGCATTATTAGCTCTTGTATGATAAATTGCATGTGATTGTTCTTCATTTTAGGTTTCTTTGAACATAAGAACATTGAAGCCTTTGGAAATGATTGCCAGGGTTTTGCTTTGCTTCGATGAACTGGTACTTTAAAGTAACATTTGGATTTACTGTAGATGTTTAGATTTGGAAGGAGCTTTTGGAGAAGGATCTTTCTGTTGGAATTCAGCAGCTTGTTCTGAGTCTCGTTACATCGAAGGAGACATTTTTAGTCACAGTTCAATAGTCCTTGAGTGTTTTGTGGATGGGGTTTTTCCACAGTTGACCCTGCTGTGTGTATCTTAATGATTGTGTCGACGTGAAAAGGGATTACGTAATCGGAGCCCCTCTGTTTTGTCCTTGCTCATCCTTTCAGAAAAGCCTGTCTCATTTAATGAAGTTATTTCAGGACGCACTTTTGCTGCTGCTGCATTTCAATGTGAAAACTGTTAGTTGGGTTACAGCACTGGGATCCAAAACCCTGCTCTCTTGAATTGTTGTTAAGGACAGGACAGTCTGTAGGAAAAGTCAATGCAAGTTAACCAATGCAGTCATAAAATGTCATGAACCTAGCAGTTTGTTTTTTCTGTCACATTGTTTTTTTTACTTTATGTGAGTCTGTTTGCAAAAATGTATTAGTACTACTAGCATGACTTGATCACCATAATAATTTTTCAATGCACTTTCAAAACCCAGTCAAAGGATTTGCTAAATGGTTTTCTGTAGGCTTTTGTTGAAACAATACATTTAAACATTTTTATCTATTCTGCCTCAATCGTGTAATTTATTTGAATGTATCTTGGGTTTTTCCAGGCAAATACTGTGATTTCTGCAATTATTCAGTTGATTATACTACATGCAAGGTATTTTTTTAATCAATTCACTTCACAGTAATAAAAATGACCATTTGAAGAAACTCTTCTCCAGCCTACAACCAGGGCAGCGATCTCCCTTCCAAATCCAGTGTTCTCAATCCTCGTTGCATTTTATGTACACCAACTGTGAATTTGGGTCAAACCTGCTCTTGCTGCTCATCTGCTTGCTGCAAATCAAAATGCCTTTAAACCTTTGCATAATGCTAAAATTGCAACATGCTTATTGTTTTATTTATTGATTTATTGATTGATTGATTGAACAGAGTGACGTATCATATACAGAAAGAGTTAACGATGCTTCTTTTTTTTTTACAATTGTCTCCCTTTCCCACAACCCACCCACTGAACAGAGGAGAAAAATTAATAATAATAAAATATATAAACAATATAAAAAAATCCAAAATGGAAAACCAGAGTGAGAAACAAACAGTGAGAAAATAATTGACAGCATTGTTTGCCCATTGCATTATCCGTTTCATTGTGCACAGGCTTTTTAATAACAATGTTAGATTTAGTTTGGTGGTACAATTACGTCCTTTTCAAAATAGGAAAGCATTGGGGACCATACTGAATAAAAACCTTTTGGTGGATCTTACTAAGAGAACATCTCATTTTTATCCAGTTTCAAGAACAGCATCACATCTCTAAGGCTGTATGTCCACCAAAGCGTTTTTCCACGCGCCTGGCGTATGTTTTCAATTGTTTTCAATGGGAGCGTCGCGGTTTTTAAACGCGATGCGCGTACCGAGGCGCTGAGCGTTTTTTTCACGCTGAAGCGCCGAGCGCCCGGCGTTTTTACTGGTTGCTGGGAGTTGAAAAATTTTCAACTTCAGATAAAACGCAGCGCTCATCACTGTCACTTTTTACCCAGCCGTCCAATCACAGTGGAGGAGGGGCGGGACTAATGCCACACTGACCAACTGTCAACATTCAACTGCTGCGGATATTCTGTATCATAGCAACGAAACGTCTCAACGGAAAAAACGCTGCGCTGCCAAAACGCTCTCAAGCGCCCAAAGCACGGCCAAAAAACTCTTTGGTGGACACACGGCCTAAGCCAGAGTATATAGTGGACTGGATATCATATATGTGGGACAATGATTTTGGATTATCTATATGAAGAGTTCAGATGCAAAAGCCTCTAAATGCCATTTGAAATGTTCTTCTTTAATGATGCTTTTTATCAAACTTGTATATTTAAGTTCAGTAATTTCACTTAAATAACAATTAATAGGTAATCATCATTGCCATTTAAGAGAAATTACTGAACTTAAATATACAAGTTTGATAAAAATCGCCATTAAAGAAGAAAATTTCAAATGGCATTTAGAGGCTTTTGCATCTGAACTCTTCATATATTGACTAATGTATGTGCTGTACATCAGAAACTGAACCATGGGAGAAGGTGAACACGGTGGAGATGGGATGTATTGTCTCTTATTCCTGTTCCTCTTCTTCTTTTAGGCCTAGGGAAAATAGAATGAAGATTATTAGTTCTGTTCAGAAAAAAAGGGTCATGCAGTTTATCTTGTAGGTCAAGCTATATAATTGATTTAGCAGATTTTTTGGTGCGCCGATAGCAATGTCCGGTCGTGTTACATGATTCTGTATAGCACATTATATGTGGCATTCACACGATATTCATGAACATGAAAACCCCATTAAGGTCATCATCAGTGGCACCTTCCCAACCCACAAATGTTAGCAGAAGTTAAACTGCTGGAGTCTCCACTGGGAATAAGAGTCACACACACACCCAGTATACAACTAAATGCACTTAGTTGTGCATACGTGTAATGTATGCATTGCATTTGGGGGCTCCAGTGAATAAATGTGCCATGAAAAGTTCTCCTTGCCTAATGCATAATCCAGTTTGAAAATGTTCTCTTGATTTGAACCCGTACTTGGCCCACACAAGTAAGCAGAAAAGCAAAAAGAAATGGGTATTAATATTTTTTAAATGGTCTCTTTGTGAGAAGACCTAGTCATCAGGCCAGTTTTGCGGCACTTATCTAACAGTCTTACATTGTTCTGTGGTCATAAGAAGGTTTTGAGAAAGACATCCCACTGTCTTGGAAGAGTGTCTGAATAAATGTTCTCTGTGAGTTGCCTTAATGTGCTTTTGTTTTTCTCCTTGCTCCCAACAGATCGCTCTCCTCCAGCTGTCGTCCTAAATTAGCTGAGCTCTGTGAAAGGATAGCCGTTTCAACTGACCCCTTCTGCTCCTTGAAGCTCCAGCCGTCCGAGACACCCAAATGCCGCCTGTCTTTCATCAAACTGGTCACTCCTAAAGAAAAATGGACTTGGAGTGAAAAGAAACCCCTTCATGTGGACTCTAGGACAACTCTCAAGCTAGCCAGATAGCTGGCCCTCGGACTCAAATGGGTGGCCTATGACGATGTAACCGATAGGGGGACTTGAGTTCTCGCTTTCCCAAGAAGCTGCAAGACGGTAAAACAAACCTTCCATCGCTTGAGGGCTTCTCTAACGTCATGCAGTCATCTGAGGAATTGTTTACCAGGAAGCTGAAAGCATTGAATGGGAGTATGGGACATCCAGCGACCAACACACAGGGCAAGCTGGAAGGGGGTGGGAAAACCAATGGGACGCCCGCCATGCCTAAAATGGGGGTGCGAGCCAGGGTGACGGACTGGCCCCCGAAAAAGGAGGGTTGGGAAAGCCGAGGTGGGCCCAACTACGAAAGCGTCATCGCGGCCTTTCAAAACGGGCAGCCGGACCAAAGCGGGGAGATCACGGATTTGGGGGATTCGGATTATTCGGATGCAAAATATTCCCTGAGTGACCTTCTAAGTCTATCCCCTTTGAAGGGGCTTCATCCCATTCGCCAGCGGAGTAACAGTGACGTGACCATCAGCGACATTGATGCGGAGGACATATTGGACCAGAACGCCGTCAACCCAAACACTGGCGCCTCGTTGCATCGGGAATACGGCAGCACTTCCTCTATTGATCGCCAGGGTCTCGGGAATGAAGGGTTCTTTACCATGTTGCGAGGGTACCGGATCGACAGTTTGGACCATCGCAGCGCCCCGCCCGTCGGTTTCCCAGAACTCCTTCGCTACGACACGACCCTCTCCCCGAGCTTGCAGACCGCCGCTCAAATCGCCCGCGGTGAGATCGTCCGAATCTCAGGCTACGACTACGTGGACGGCTCGCTCCTCTACAGCCGAGAAAGAGAGAAGTCTTTCATGCGTCGTCTCAAGTCGGAGTCATCCGAGACGTCGCTTTTTAGGAAGTTGAGGACTATTAAAAGCGAGAACGATGGTTTGCGACTCTCCACCGAACAGGACGACCGCCGGCCGCTCAGTTTTCAGAAATGCTTTGCTCACTATGACGTCCAGAGCGTACTCTTCAACATCAGCGAAGCGGTGGCGAACCGTATCAGCCTCAACCAGAGGAAAAACACCACAACCGGAGCTTCTGCTGCCTCGCAGTACCAAATCCCAGGAGGCGGACCGGTGGGTGCCAATAATACCGGACCTGCGTCCATGTTCGAATCGCCACTGGGAAGTCGGGAAGACCTCAATCCCAAGGAGAACCTGGATGCGGACGAGGGGGATGGGAAAAGCAATGGGTTGGTGCTCAATTGCCCGCATTTTCGCAATGAGGTTGGTGGAGAGGGGGAGAGGAGGATCTCTCTCTCCAGGGCCACTAACAGCACTTACAGTGCTGGAGGAGAAAACTGCTCTTTCGAGTCATCCTTGAGCTCGCACTGCACCAACGCTGGTGTGTCTGTGCTGGAGGTGCCACGGGAAAGCCAGGCAATCCACCGTGAAAAGGTCAAGCGGTACATCATCGAGCATATCGACCTGGGAGCGTATTATTACCACAAATTCTTCTATGGCAGAGGTAAGCCTTGTTATTTTGGCGTGAAAAATGGGGTTGATTCTTGTTTGCAACTGGTTGTATTTAGAATATTCATCAGTTCATGTTATTACACAGAAAACTAAGTTTTTATTGTTTGTGATCTTGCTTTGCCTCTGAAACATCTTTCCTCTTTAGCGGATTTCATAAAGTTTGTGTTGGTGTTTTTTTTATTTTATTCATTTTACTAAATTACACGACCCAATAAAAACTCCACCCCCCCCCCCCACACACACACACACACACAATAAAAAGATGAGTACTGCAAAAAAAAAAAATCTTAAAATTTAAATGATATAGATTAACTTGAAATGCAACTCTGAATATTAAATATAATCATAATAATACGAGTTTTCATAGATTTTATCTTGAATTGAGGTGGATTTTGGCTAATTTCACTTGCTTTTAAGTAGTTTATATACAAGTGAACAAATCTAAATAAAATAAAATAAAAGTTTTTGTTTACATGCACCTACAGTATATATGTAGGTGCACTGTGTATACTTATATATATATATACACTCTAAAAAATGCTGGGTTGTTTTAACCCAACTCTGGGTCAAATATGGACTAACCCAGCCGTTGGGTTAAATTTTTACATTACATTTTTAACCCAACATTTCGGGTTTGTCCATATTTGACCCAAAATTGGGTTAAAACAACCCAGCATTTTTTAGAGTGTATATATATATATATATATATATATATATATACACACACACATACATGTATATTTAAGAAAAAAATATTATTTATATTTAAAATATAAATATTTATATATAATATAAATTATATATAAATCTTTATACAGTATACTGTATACATGAAAATATTTCTTAAATGTATACAAGCAAAATATTATTTATACATAACATATGAATATTTATATATCATATAAATGATATATAAATCTATATACAATGTATACATGAAAATATTTCTTAAATATATACAAGCATGTGTGTGTATTTATATACCCCACCCACATATATTATGTAAACACAAACTTTTATTTTGGATGCGAACAATTGTTTGACAGCCCCAATATAATCATAATAAAATGAGTTTTCATAGATTTTATCTTGAATTGAGGTGCATTTTGGCTAATTTCACTTGCTTTTAAGTAGTTTATATACAAGTGAACAAATCTAAATAAAATACACACAAAAATAAAAAATAAAATACATTCCTATTATTGACACATCTATGAAAACAAGTCTAGATATCTCCTTCAGTGTTGCCTTTGAAGTAAATTTAAAGAGATTTTAGATGTTTTAAGTAGAATTACCTCATTAACTCTGAAACCTGTATGACCAACTTTTCTATACAATGAAAGTCAGTGGATTTCAATGCTGTTTGGAACTTTTCATCAAAATATCTTCTGTTGCGATCCACCATCCACGAAATTGAGTACAAAATACTGATTACAAACTTAAAATCCATTTTTTTTTTGCAGTGTTAATTATTAAAGAACTTCTTTAGAAGATCTTTTGGATGCTATTCTGGTGATTTGGGGACTGAGACAATAGCAGCTTTTTTTAAGACCGATGTTTGTTACACATTTTAAAGGGAGAAATGCTTGTTATTTTTCCATGAAAAATGGGGTTGATTCTTGTTTGCAACAGGTTGTATTTATATTATTCATCAGTTCATCTTATTACAAAGAAAACAAAGTTTTTATTGTTTGTGATCTCTTCCTCTGAAACATCTTTCCTCTTTAGCGGATGTCATAAAGGTTGTGTTGGTGGTTTTTATTTTATTTTATTCATTATACTAAATTACACAACCCAAGTAAAAGCTCTAAACTAAAGTGCCCAAAAAAAGATGAGTACTGCAAAAAAATCGTAAAATTTAAATCATATAGATTAACTTGAAAGGCAACACTGAATAAAATATAATCATAATAATATGAGTTTTCATAGATTTTATCTTAAATTGAGGTGCATTTTGGCTAATTTCACTTGTAAGTAGTTTTATATACAAGTGAACAAATCTAAATAAAATACACACACACACACACACACACACAAAACAGCCAGTTCAGTGAGATAAAATGTTGCCTTTCAAGTAAATTCAGTGTTGCCTTTCAAGTAAATTTAAAGAGTTTTTAGATATTTTAAGTATAATTACCTCATTAACTCTGAAACCTGTATTACCAACTTTTCTATACAATGAAAGTCAGTGGATTTCAATGCTGTTGGAACTTTTCATCTAAATATCTTCTGTTGCCATCCACCATCGACGAAATTGAGTACAAAATACTGATTACAAACCTAAAATTTTTGCAAAATTCATTGCAGTGTTAATTATTAAAGAACTTGTATCTTGTAATATTTCTCCTATTCTGGTGATTCGGGGACTGAGACAATAGCAGCTTTTTTAAGCCTGATGTTTGTTACACATTTTAAAGGGAGAAATGCTTGTGCTAAGGACTGAGGTGTGAGAATGTTCTCCTGTCTTTGGCCCGTGATTTGTCATGTGAGAACAGACAGGGTGAGGTGCAGCTGTTCCCCTCCGAGGAGCCGTGATGGCGAGAGGTGAGACGGGACCCTCTCCTCACACCGCAGTCCCACCGCTCTTCATTAAAACACCTCTGCGTGTCTGGGAATGGAACGAGCCAAACGATACTCTGACTTATCCTGCACAATGTCATTGGTGTTTGACTGAGAAGGTGTCAGCGGCTGTCAGACTGCTTTTTTTGCGTGTCTGCACATCTGCATAGTCCTGACAGGATTGTGTTACCCATTCCTAAGCTCTGGAAAACAGCTGCTCCACCTCTCGCCATGCAGAAATTCATTTCTTTCCTTTGACTGTGCTGAATAATGAGCCGAAGCCTGTGGGTGAAAGCTGCGATTGTGTCCTGCACGTTCACGGGCTTTCCAGCCATAGCGAATGAGCAAATTACAGCTCAGCTCAAATGACAATAAATCATGTTAGCAAGCTCGTTCTATTGGGAAATAGATAATCATCCGCCTTGCCGTGTCGCCAAAGACCTTTCAAGCAGAAGAGCTCAATTTCCTCTGTGGGTTATATTTAAGACACTGATTAATCTTGTGCATTTAACTATATATTTGAAGTGCTGTTTAAAGAGGGAGGGAGTTTAAACTCGAAATGATATCCAAATGGACCAGAACTTTTTTGGATGGATGGGCTTTAATTCTAAACTAATTTATTTAATTTGATTTATTTTCTTAGACTGTAACTTGCAGTTAATGTAGATTTACTCATATATTGCTGATTATATACGTTAACATATACGTTAAATAAAGGCAATAATAGCAAATAATGACACATTTGTCAAGAAAGACGATTTCGTCTCAAGGTTCTCATCTACTCAAACATCCCATTTCATGTTGATTTAATTAAATGCATAACTTTAAACTGAATTAAAATGAATGCATAACTTGAATGCATAGCTTCACATTAAATTCAATTGAATGGAAAAATTCAAACGGAATTCAGTTGAATGCATAACTTAAATGCTTGACTTTGCATAACTTTTAAATTGAATTAAAATTAAATGCATAACTTGAATGCACAACTTTACATTAAATCAAATTGAATGAATGATGGATAACTTAAAATGTTATTAAATTTAATGCATGATTTGATAACATGACTTCAAATTAAATGCATAACTTGAATGCATAGCTTCACATTAAATTCAATTGAATGGAAAAATTCAAACGGAATTCAGTTGAATGCATAACTTAAATGCTTGACTTTGCATAACTTTTAAATTGATTTAAAAATAAATGCATAACTTGAATGCATAGCTTTACATTAAATTCAATTGAATGGAAAAATTCAAATGGAATTCAGTTGAGTGCATAACTTAAATGCTTGACTTTAAATTAAATTGAATGCATAACTTTTAAATTCAATTAAAAATAAATGCAGAACTTGAATGCACAACTTTACATTAAATCAAATTGAATGAATGGATAACTTAAAATGTTATTACATTTAATGCATAATTTGATAACATGGCTTCAAATTAAATGCATAACTTGAATGCATAACGTTTTAAACTGAATGCATAACTTTTAAATTGAATTAAAAATAAATGCATAACTTGAATGCATAACTTTACATTAAATTCAATTGAATGGATAAATTCAAACGGAATTCAGTTGAATGCATAACTTAAATGCTTGACTTTGCATAACTTTTAAATTGAATTAAAAATAAATGCATAACTTGAATGCACAACTTTACATTAAATCAAATTGAATGAATGATGGATAACTTAAAATGTTATTAAATTTAATGCATAATTTGATAACATGACTTCAAATTAAATGCATAACTTGAATGCATAACTTTTAAACTGAATGCATAACTTTTAAATTGAATTAAAAATAAATGCATAACTTGAATGCATAGCTTTACATTAAATTCAATTGAATGGAAAAATTCAAATGGAATTCAGTTGAGTGCATAACTTAAATGCTTGACTTTAAATTAAATTGAATGCATAACTTTTAAATTGAATTAAAACATAAATGCATAACTTGAATGCACAACTTTGCATTAAATCAAATTGAATGAATGGATAACTTAAAATGTTATTAAATGTAATGCATAATTTGATAACATGGCTTCAACTTGAATGCATAACTTTTTAAACTGAATGCATAACTTTTAAATTGAATTAAAAATAAATGCATAACTTGAATGCATAACTTTACATAAAATTCAATTGAATGGATAAATTCAATTGAATGCATAATTTAAATGCTTGACTATAAATTAAATTGAATGCATAACTTTTAAACTGAATTAAAAATAAATGCATAACTTGAATGCACAACCTAACATTAAATCAAATTGAATGAATGGATAACTTTAATTTGTATTAAATTTAATGCATAACTTGTTAACATAACTTCAAATTAAATGCATAACTTGAATCCATAACTTTTAAATTGAATTAAGAATAAATGCATAACTTGAATGCACAACCTAACATTAAATCAAATTGTATGAATGGATAACTTAAAATTTTATGAAATGTAATGCATAATTTGATAACATGCATTATGCATAACTTTAAATTGAATTTAAACTTTGAACTTAAATGCATGGCTTGAAATGGAATTAAATGTAATGCATTATGTGAGTCAGATAGTGATTTTTATTTTGACGGTCTGACTTTCCTGAACTAACAGTCAAAGTCCATTTAACCTTTCTAGCTGCTCATCGCCCCATCAGTGTCTCTACAGGACCTGGAAAGGACAGACCTGTCAACATGTCTCTCCCAGGAGCCACTATCCCTTTCACACCTGACTTTCCATGATGCTTTTATCACCCTGGGAGTTGCATTGATTCCATTAACTTCCTCTCTGCGTGATCGGAGAGGATGCAAGATGTGACATGCCTACTGAAAGTTTTCAGTACGGTTGCATTAATTCATGCTTGTTATTAATACTTCATCTTGTTGAGCATCGTGGCCTCCTGGTGCTGATGGTCAAGCTGTTATCTTTCCAGCAGGCTTGTGTTTTAGAGAAGAATTCAGCAGTTTTTACTCTTCATTTCAGCTTTAGGCTTTACCCTCATGAGTGTTCAAGTGGATGAGATGAAGTGTTTGTTGTCGTTCACCTCTGGATTTGAGTTGGATTAAGGGCTGTTGTAGAACGTTTTCAGATCTCTCCCATCATGCAGTTCGCTTCTGCTGTCGTAACTTTAAATAAGGTTGTATTTGTTTTTGTTTTTTCGTGTTGTGCCATCAGCAGGATCCCACACACTACTTGAGCTGTTGCTAATTTCTTTGTTGTCCCATATTTTTTATTTTGTGTGTGTGTTATGCATGAATGCGCATTATCCCAATGCTTTAGTAAACATTATCTGTTATATTGCATAATTTTGGCCTGGGGTTTTCAACACTGTGTCCAAATGCATGTTTGTCTACAAAGGGGCTTACTAAAAAAGGATATGAAAGAGAAAGAGGTTAAGCCTCGTCTGTGGCGGGTTTTGTTAATCTCTGACGGACTCCTGTGGTCAGTGAAATCTGAGATTATGGATCATGTATGACACTGATGTGTCTGCGAGACTGTGTGGAATCTATGGAGATGCTGCGCCCTGATCAGACCACATCAATGCCATGTAGACCATATTAATATAATCCACATTTGCTCTGGGTTTTCTTTTCTTTTTTTTACTTTATTTTATTTTATTTTTACTCCCAAATTAAAAGATTATCTATCTATCTACCCATCTGTCCTTTTGTCATTCTATTCATTCATCCATCCATCCATTGTTTTGTCATTCCATCCATTTCTTTGTTGTTCCATCCATCCATCATCTTTTTTCATTTCATCCATCCATCTATTTATCTTTGTTGTTCCATCCATTTATCCTTTTGTCTATCCATCATCTATCCATCCATTCTTTTTACGTTTCATCCTTTTGTCCTTCCATTTTTCCATTCCATCATTTTGTCATTCCATCCATCATCCATCCATACATTCTTTTTTCTTTGTATCCTTTTATCATTCCATCCATCCATTCATCCATCCATTGTTTTGTTGTTCCATCTATTTATCTTTGTTGTTCCATCCATCCATCATTTTGTCCATCTATCATCCATCCAGCCATCCATTCTTTTTTCATTTCATCCTTTTGTCCGTCCATCCATCCATCCATCTTTTTTCCATTCCATCCATCCATCCATCCATCCATCCATCATTTTGTCATTCCATCCATCCATCCATCTATTCTTTTTTCGTTTCATCCTTTAGTCATTCCATCCATTTATCTTTGTTGTTCCATCCATCCTTTTGTCCATCCATCCATCCATCCATCATCCATACATTCTTTTTTCGTTTCATCCTTTTGCCCTTCCAACCATCATTTTTCCATTCCATCCATCCATCTATTCTTTTTCATTTCATCCTTTTGTCATTCCATCCATTTATCTTTGTTGTTCCATCCATCCATCCTTTTGTCCATCCATCCATCCATACATTCTTTTTTCGTTTCATCCTTTTGTCCTTCCAACTATAATTTTTCCATTCCATCCATCCATCCATCAATCATTTTGTCATTCCATCCATCATCCATCCATCCATCTATTCTTTTTTCATTTCATCCTTTTGTCATTCCATCAATTCATCCATCCATCTTTGTTGTTTCATCCATCTATCCTTTTGTCCTTCCATCCATCTATCCATTCATACTTTTTCAATCCATCCATCCAACGTTTTATTGTTCCATCCATTTTTTTGGCCTTCCACCCATCTATCGTTTGTCGTTCCATCCATCCAATGTCACCATACAAAAAATCCTATAGTAAAATTCTATTTATTTATTTATTTAGACCTTAATTGTCAAGAAAATAATCTCACAATGTATATCAAAATGTAAAAATCATAATGGTCCTAAAATAAACTTGCTTGCTTTATTTTTAAAAACATATTTTAAATAATGTCACAATGCCAAAATCCTAAAATAAGCAGGTCTATATAGGCCATTATCAGTGGAGTTTCCTGTGTGTGTATCTCCTCAGCATGACCGGCACCAGAGAGACTGAAGAGTTTAAATAGCTCTCTCTGTCCCCTTCGCTCAGGGTTATCTGTCCTTCTTGAACCTGACCTCATATCTCCCTCTCTTTCCTGTCATTAACCCCCAGAGCACCAGAACTACTTCGGGGTGGATGAGAACTTGGGCCCGGTGGCCATCAGCGTTCGGAGAGAAAAGCTGGACGATGGGAAAGACAAAGAGGCATCGCAGTTTAACTATCGGGTCACCTTCAGGACCAGTCAGGTACGCGAGTGCTTGACAAATGGACACGAATCAGCAAATATTGATATAAATAACTATTGATAATTCATTTTTGGATTAATTAATGAGTATATCATTCGTAATGAAAAATGAATGGATTGATGGCCCTAATTGCAATACAATCTTTAGTAGTTTTAGAAGGACTAATGGTGTCACACTGGAAATAGCAGTTCCACATAAACATTTAAATAATTAATTAAAGTTTTACCTGCTGAAATGAAGGAAGCGTTTAATTAATATTAAGAGATGAAACTCTCCCTCTTTTATACTTACAAGCTTGAAAAGGTCTTGGTTTGCATTGGCAACATTTATAATAATCCCTACGATATCAATTGCTAATAATTTTATTAATAATAGAATCATGAAATTGTCATGAAAATAATTAATTTTAATGGTCCTAACATGAACTTAATTTTCTAAATTGTTTATTTATTAGCTTTCTTATTTATTAATTGATGTACTTATTTACTTGTTTAATTACCGGTATTTATTAATTTGGGACAGATCATCTTAAAAGGGTCAAATATTATCATTATTATTATAATTTGAGGACAGCAAATCAACAAAAAAATGCCCACATGCTGATTCCTCTTTCTCCACCGCATTAAACCTCAGGCTTTGATCTTCAGCTCCTAATGGCACTCGTTCACAATTAATCTGAATGATTTCCTACATGCCATAGATGCTCAAACGACTCAATATTTCAGAATGACCCTATAAAGAGATGTTAGATAATTCAGCATAAAAGGCTTTTACTTAATAAGTGCAGATAAAAGGGTTGAGACTCAAAGAGCGCGTCCTCGAATCTCCTGCAAGGGGGATGATTTCATTGACAATAACAGGATTCTTTCAGATTCTTTCAAAATATGCATAGGTATATTGGGATATCAATTTAGTTTATTAGAAAGAGAATAAGTACTTGAGGCCATATACTCATATGACAATATTAAGCCATCGGATAATAAGGATTTGGATGGTTTGAGGCAGGAAAATGCATGTGTAGTGATCTCGATTGTAATCCAACCTCTTGTCTTTCTCTGGCCCTCTTCAGTTAACCACCTTACGCGGGGCGATCCTGGAGGACGCTGTGCCGTCCACGGCGAGGCACGGGACGGCCCGCGGTCTCCCACTGAAGGAGGTGCTGGAGTACGTGGTGCCGGAGCTGAACATCCAATGCCTCCGACTGGCCCTCAACTCTCCCAAAGTCCCCGAGCAGCTCCTCAAGCTGGACGAGCAGGGGGTGAGGACTAGTCTAGAGCCATGAAATCTGATGTTATGGGAACCATATATAGATATGCATAGAAGGGCTGCACGATTTGGGGGGAAAAATCTACTAGCAATTTTTCTCAGAAAAAGTTTATTTCTTTATTTCTGTTGCAATTTGAAAAATAAAAAATTATGCATTTTTTTTTTAATTAATAAAATATTATTAAATATAATAATTATTATTATTTATTAAAATACAAGCAAAATGTACTAAATTAAAACAAAATAAGAAATTATTGTATTATTTCAATGAAAAAATAGTGTTTAAAAAAATGATGCATTAATTTCTTAGACAGAAAACTGCTGGTAGGGAACATATATTTATATAATTAAAATGCGTTCATTGTGATGTGATCCTCGTAATATGATCATTTTGGTTTTGTTTAGATTAATTGTGTAGCCCTAATGCATAGTGTCTTTTATTATATTGCTTTTGTAAATTAAATTATGCATTTTTTAAAAAAAAATTAATAAAATATTATTAAATATAATAATATTTATTATTATTATTTATTAAAATAAACGTAAAATGTACTAAATTAAAACAAAATAAGAAATGATTGTATTATTTCAATGAAAAAATTGTGTTTAAAAAAATGATGCATTCATTTCTTAGACAGAAAACTTCTGGTAGGAAACATATATTTATATAATTAAAATGCATTCATTGTGATGTGATCCTCGTAATAATATGATAATTTTGGTTTTGTTTAGATTAAGTGTGTAGCCCTAATGCATACTAGTGTCTTTTATTATATTGCTTTTGCTCATGTTTTATAGCAATAAGCAACATTCATTGTAGTGGTGACTGAATTTTTATTTTTTGCTTGTTCTATGGTGATTTTTACCACATCAGCCGTACTTTAGTCTGGTTTTAATGCAGCATTGGATCTTTACACTGCATTTTGTGCAGTGATAGAGCAGCCTTGACTTGGCTGTGTGCATCGTTTCTCACAAATCCGAGTTATATGTGTACCACAGCAGTTCTGAAAGTGTTAATGCAAATAGTGCATGGTTATATGACTAAAAATCAACATGCACTGGGTCTCAAAAGCACCATAGAGCTGTTTCTCCCGTGGAGCGTCTGTCAACATGGATTCAGATGATCGTCTTGGTTCTGAGGAAGAAAATCAGCCAATATCATGTTATAGTTCGATCAATAACAGCTCCAGCGCATTGATTTCCCAACTTGGAGTGGAAATGTGAATGAGCACGGACGAATATAGCCAAAATTACATTTTTTTTTTCATAGACCGAGTTACCGACTTTTTCATTATCTGCTTTAAAGAGAAGTGATTATTATAGTTCTTTCGAGTGCACTGTGTATAATTATTTTATATATATAAATACACACACATGCTTGTATATATTTAAGAAAAAAATATTATTTATATTTATATATAATATAAATTATATATAAATCTATATACAGTTTGTACATGAAAATATTTCTTAAATAAATACAACCGTGTTTGTGTATTTATATATATATATATATAAAATAATTATACACAGTGCACCCACATATATTATGTAAACACAAACTTTTATTTTGGATGCGATTAATCGTTTGACAGCCCTAGTTCTTTATGCATGCAAGTTTTTATGACAGCCACCATTTAAATGTTTATATTTCATATAACTTTCTTATTATAAAATAAATAAAAGTGTCATTTAAGTGTTTGTAAAGCTAGAAAAATCAGTTAATTATTACCTTCGACATTATAGTATAGGCTAATGAAGCCTATAGGCTACAACTGACTCCCATAGTTTAAGAGATTTGTTTTCCTTAAGAAAAATTGCCTTGTATTGTACCTGTTATCCAAAATAATCAATATTGAATTGAATCGTCATCGAAATCCGAATTGAATCTAATTGCAAGCTTGTGAATCGAAATTGAATCGAATTGTGAAATTTTTGTCAATACCAAGCCCTAAGTGTCTCCAACTAAGCAAGCCAGAGGAACCCGACCTCCATCAGTGACAGAATGGAGAAAAGCCCTTCAGTCGGGATTCAGTTCTCCTCTCCAATCATATGAATGTCAGACTGTGGGTCATTGACACGGGCGATGAATCCTGTCGCTTGAAGCTGTCATAACATTCCCACGGTGTTTTTCCTTCACACAGTAAGTGACAAAAATTGAAAACAGAAAGAAGAAACAACATTCCATTGCTGGATGAAAAAGCACTTTATTGATTACAGTTTCATGCGTCTCTGCAGGAGCGTATAAGGGTTTGTCCCAGAAGGCTTGTGTTTTAGTGCAGACCCTGTGTAGTTTTCCCTCTTAGTTAGTCCAAGTGACTCACTCAACATCTGTTTACACCGTTTGGCACACGACCTCGCATACGAAATCTGGATAACATGCGCTGAATTGCTACCAGTTGGAACAGCATAATGATTCGGTTCATGCTTACTACTGTATGTTTATAATTCAGAAATCAAGTTTTGTTTTGGCAGGTAGCACTCAAATTTCCTTCAGAAATAGTATCTAGTTATTTAGCAATTTCGTTTGCAGCTGTAAGTGCCACTAAAATTACACGCTTCACCTTTTAAAAAGCACCTAATATGCTTTTTTTTACATCTTTCTTTAGTGTGTAATGTTGAAAAAATCAGTGTCAGTGTTTCTGAACTCATGAAACGCCTCCACTGTAGTCTTGAGTTTCTTCAGGCAATGAACACGTCACAATATTCCTCATTATAATAATTAATGCGCAGGATAAAGGGGCGGGGCCTGGTTGAGTTAGTTATAGTGTGTAGTTATGGTAAGAGGCGGGACATTTCCCAAACATGCTCAAAGCGCTCGACCACTCACAACACTCTGATCCAGCCGACCAATCAGAGCACAGTGTGCTTTTCAGAAGGAGGGGCTTCATAGAGACAGGAACTAAACAGAGCGTTACTCGCAACAACTTGAGATTATTGGGAAAATAATGTGTTTTTGACCCCAAAAACAAAATCAAGACTTTGAAACGGGGCATAATGGGCTCTATGCACGGCAGTATTTCCGGTGAAGGTTTAAGGACGCTCGATAACTTCCGCCGATCGTAGAGTCCAATGCAATACCGAGAATTTATATTGAATTTTATACTCCATGGTTATACTAAAGAAACGTTAGTCACAAAAACAGATAAAACAGACACCCCTCGTTGTGTTTATGCTTCTTTTTAAAATTATATTAAATAAACATAACTATATATAAAATTACATCTAAACGTATGTACGTTTCGTTTCAATGACGGGAGGACGGCAAATTTTGAAGTTTTCCTCGGTTTTCCTCCGCTTTAATCTCCACAACCGGAAATAAACGAGCATCCTTGCGTCAAATGCGGAACTTACTGTATGTGTGCATATAGCCCATAGATCGCCTTTACGGTAAAACTGTATTTGTCTTGTGTATTTGCCTGTAGCACATGCATGTTCAGCTGTCTGCTGAAGATCATCTGGTTTGGAGATGAATGGTGGTCTTGGCCTCTGGGGAAGAATGTGTGAAAAGCAACACCTATGTCACATAATGTGCTAAAGACCTCCAGTCTGCCGCCCACATGGCTAACAAAGCGTATCACGTTACCTTGGGCTGCTGCGGGAAAGGTTCACTGCTCACTTGATGCTGACAGATATTGAGAAGTGAACTCTTTCATTCCATGTCCTGCTCTTTTCTTCTCTTACGCTTGTGTGTAAGCGTAGAGTTAGCGGCGGCTTAGCAGAAACACAACTTTGCTGTACACTGTAAAAAACAAAGTAAAATTTACTTAATTTTTTCAAGGCAAGCTTTTGCAATGATATTTTTTGAGTAAATTTGACACATATAATTAAGTAAACTATACTTAACTAAGTTAAGTGAAAATAACATAAGATTAAGTAATATCGGTAACACTTTACGGTAGGGCTGGGTAATAAATATCGATTTCTCGATATTAATCGATTCTCATTTTTACGAACCGATATCGATTTTTAAGTCTCAAGAATCGATTAGTCATCCTGTTTCATTTGAATGAATGGGATTGTATCGCGGCTGCGCGCTTAAAAAAATCGCAATAATCTTTGTCCTTTGTTACTATTGATATTAAGCAAAGTCTCAATTTTCAAATTACGTCCATTTTCTTTAGAAATTCAAAAACATAAATAGTGTTTTGTCGCTGTGGCGTGAGATCGCTCTGGAGAAGCAGCAGCGCTGATCTCACTTCCGGCTTAATAATACCAGTCACAGCGCCAAATAAACATGAAAGTGTGTTAAAGATAGAGTACAACTTATCGAAATTCATATCATGTCACATTGATTCGCTCAATCAGCGTTTCAACCGTGGAAAGACGTCAGTTAAACAGCTTGTAATCAATGTCATGTATCGTCATATTTACCTCAGAAAACCCACATCAACTCGTTAGTCAGCTAGAAAAAAATAACTCCAGAGAGGAGCGTTTTGCTAAATATATAGCCACCATTTAAATGTTTATATTTCATATAATCTTCTTATTATAAAAATAAATAAAAGTGTAATTTAAGTGATTCGTTCATTATTACCTTCATATTTGAATAAATCTGGCAAGTTTTTATGACAGCCACCATTTAAATGTTTATATTTCATATAATATTCTTATTATAAAAATAAATAAAAGTGTAATTTAAGTGATTCATTCATTATTACCTTCATATTAGGCTAATGAAGTCTATAGGCTACAACTAGACTCCCATAGTTTACAGCATTTAAGAGATTTGATTCCCTTGAGGAAAAAATGCCATTTATTGTAACTGATATCCAAAATAATCGATATTGAATCGAATCGAATCGTAATCGAAATCGAATCGAATTGCAAGCTTGTGAATCGAAATCGAATCGAATTGTGAAATTTGTCTCAATACCCAGCCCTACTTTACGGTAAGGGTACATGAATTATCATGAATTCATGTATAAGTTAACGCATGAATTATACATTCATTCATAAATTAATATCTCATGAATCATCAGGAACTAACACAAGTTCAACATTTTTCATTCATGACTTCATGAATGAACAACACCTTAATTAACACATTGAGCACATCATCATGAATTATGATTTATTACGCATGATCATGATGTTTTCTTTGTTCACATTTATGCCACCTTTCAATAGTACATTGTTCATCAGTGTTTCAAAGGACCTAGTCACCACTTCAGTTAAGGGGCCACACACATGATGACGTCATTGATAGATAATGCTTAGTTAATGATGACTTCTGTATTTGATTTACAGAATGTGTGTGCTATGAGCTGTGATTGGTCTATTATGGTGTCTGTCCAATAGTCATCATTAACTAAGCATTAATCTATTAATGACTTCATCATGTGTGTGGCCCCTTAACTAAAGTGGTGACTAGGTCACTGACCTAGACAAAGAACAAAGAAAACATCATGATCATGCGTAATAAATCATAATTCATGGTGATGTGCATATCTTAGTTAATGTTTTAATTAAGGTGTTGTTCATTCATGTAAAACGTTGAACTTGTGTTAGTTCCTGATGATTTATGAGAAATAATGCATGAATGAATGCATAATTCATGCATTAATTTATACATGAATTCATGATAATTCATGTACCCTTACTGTAAAGTGTTACCGTAATATCTATTGTATTTAATTTAATTTTTCTTAATACAACATTTCACTCATACAATATAACATTGAATTAGACCACACTGTTTAAGAATGTGTCATTTTAAGTAGAAAATGAACTCCAAATGTCACAAAATGGCAAATTACTAATCCTAACAACAAAAGTAATGATAAAATAGTGTAAATACAGCTGGAAAACAGTGAAAAATCAACCTCATTAATTATTCATGGCCCAGTGCATGATGGGAACACCAGTATCAGAAAAGTTGAGTAATTTTACTTAAACTTATAATGTTGATATTTACGCTTTCATTTCTACACGATTTACTTATTTTCTTTACTATTTTTTTTAAATTCTTGCCTGAACTAACCTTTTTCATGTAAATTAAATTGTTTTTTTTTTTCTGTAGTATTTACTTCACCACAAAATCATTTTTATCAGTGTAGAGCACAACAGTAGGGATCCGCAAGTGAAGATCTCATGTTTCCCGTTGAGCGTTAGCAACGTTTTAAGACGAGACCTACCATGAGTTCTGAAGTTAAGCTTAAGAAATTATATTATTATATTTAGTGCTGTCAAACGATTAAATTGCGATTAATCGCATTAATGTAATTAACACAGATGAAGTCATTAATGCACATTTATTTTCGGGTACATGACACTCCAGTCCCTTCAGAAGAGCTCAGTCATCAGTTCAGACCGATTCAACGATCACTACTGGAGACGTGCTATTCATGGGATTTAATAATCATTATGGAAATTGTGGGATTGGATGGGATTACTGTAAACTCAACAGAAGACTGTGGGATCACTTCAAGTTCTGACAAGTGAAATGTGTCATTTACGTACAAAAACAACCGCATTTACAAACGAGTTTCTCAAACAACAACAGCCGAATAATTAGTTTGAGGCTAGTTCTTACTACTATTTTGAATTAGCATTTTTATATATATATATATTTTCCAGTTTCATTTTAAATTTAGTTTGATTTTAAGCTCTTTTCTTGTTTATTTTCTTTCCGAAATATTTAAAATTGTACTATTTAGCAGTTTTGGTACTTCAACATTTTTAATTGAAGTATTAATTATTTCAGTTAGTTGCCAATGCAAAATTTCACTGGTTTTCATATAGACCATTTCACAAGATGTAAACAACACTGGTCCAGAAGCACTTCCTGTTACAGTTTGTAACTGTTTTCTTTAATTCACATGTAAAGAAAACATCTTAAAGATGTTTGTTTAACTTTTTGATTCAGTTTTATATGTTCTGTTGGTTGTATTTTATCCCAGCTTTTATGTAGTGTTAAAAAAACTGAAACAGGAAGTGCTTCTGGACCAGTGTTGTTTACATCTTGTGAAATGGTCTATAATTTTATTTATTTATTTTTTAAATATATATATATATATATATATATATATTTTTTTTTAAAGTCTTCGTTTTAACTCATGACTACAAGATTGGTTTGAGGCATTTAAAACAAGTAAAGAGATATACATTATCATGGATGAACTGTAATCTAGTTGAAATACTTTCTGCACTTTTATACTGTATTTTATACTTTTATTCTACAGCTTAAGCAGAATATAAGTAGATAAGCAGATCCCAACAGCCAAAAGTCTGACCATTAGCTGACAAGTGACTAAAATATACATAAAACCACTGTTAGCCAGTCAGTCTGGATTCAAACACTAAATTATAGCATTTCATTTGATGGGAAATGAGTTGTGACTGAAGTCTCTTCAATAGTCCCAATCCCTCAGTAAGACGTGGTGAAATGCCATGAGAAACCCTGTCCTCGCAGCGACGCGTTCCTTACGCAGCCGTAACCCAGTTCAGATGAGCTGAACGGGTCTGATGAGGCGCAGGGAAACGGCTGATATTTCAGCGCTCGGAAATCAGGCTCCACTCTCTTACGCGGGTCAAGTATTCCCAGCTTGGAAACCATGCTGTTGTCATGGCGACCTTGTTCTCTGAAACCTTCATCCGACTGTTTTGGATTAGGAACAGCCAGTGACTTCCACGGCATCTACTCGAGCAGCGCTAATGCAGTTCAGAGGAGATGCCCTACTTGGCTTTAGAAAGGACACACACACACACACACTGGGATAAGTGCAGTAAACTTGAGTTGTAAAAGAGGTAAATGACGACATCCAGACCGCTGACACATTCTGAATGGGTTGGTATACGGCCAACAGGCGGGTTTTAGACAAAGCAAGTGGTGAGAAAACATAAAATGCTTGCAGGAGTCAAACACACAGAGGGGCAAATTTAGCACGAGAAGTCATGTGAGCCGACAGTGATGATGTCACGCGCGTGCTTCCATTCCAACAGCATCAAGAAGACAAATGTTCTGTTACAAACCCTAGTAAGATGCCCACTTAATAATACAACAGTAAACCATTCATATATATAATGCACTATAGAAGGATTTATCATGCATTAATTATGCCTTGAAATGCACTGTATTGTCTTTTGTTATCTATTCATTAATTAAAAAAGTATTATATATTAAAATGCATGACTACTTTCAGATGTAGCAGAATCTGCAAATGTTATAATGCATTTTAACTTGGTTTACAATTATTTATGAAAAGATGTAATGCATTATAATAAACATTATGAATACCTTTTATAATGCATTATACATAAGGACTATATAAAAATTAAAACATAATATAAAAATATTGAAAAAATATATAGAGAAATAATTAAATGTATTATAAATATTAAGAATATAAATATTTTAAAACAATAATTAAGTAGAAAATTATTCAAAATATACAGATTAAATATATACTAAATATAATATATTATGTTAATATGAAATAAAATTATGTGTATTGTATTTTTTTTTTCCAATTTAAAACATTTAATACTGATATATAATATAGTATATTCTCATTTCTTGAGCTTCAGCTTAACTTTTATGTCCACAATTATAATATATATTGTTATATTATTATATATATATATATATATATATTAAATTGTAAAACAAATTTTAAAAAATATATAAAAGTATTCAGATACAGATTTACTTTATATACCATTAATTAATTACAATATGGTCATATTGAAAATATAAATGTTTTATATTTTTTATATTTATTTAATACAGATATTTTATATAATATAACATAATATAATACTACGTGTAATTATGCATGTGATTACTGTAGAAAGTACAAGTAACTAACCTAAACCTAACCCTAAAGTAAGTGCATGTAGTTAATTAAAATAACTTAACATCACCTTAAAATAAAGTGCAACTTCAATTAATAACTGGGTTGAGTTTATTGATATCCGATCAGTGATAAATGTAATATGTGTGTGTTTGTGTTGCAGCTGAGTTTCCAGCACAAAGTGGGGGTCCTGTACTGTAGAGCGGGGCAGAGCACAGAGGAGGAGATGTACAATAACGAGAACGCCGGGCCGGCGCTGGACGAGTTCCTGGATCTGCTCGGTCAGAGAGTCCGACTGAAGGGCTTCAGCAAGTATAGAGCACAGCTGGACAACAAGAGTATGTGTGCATGCTGACCCTGGCTACATACGACACAGTGCATTTTATATATATATGGGCTGGGCACCAATTAATCACATCCAAAATAAAAGTTTGTGTTTAGTGTTTACATTAAAATATATGTGTGTGTAATTATTTTTGTATATATAAATGCATACACTCATGCATTTTATATATTTGAGAACATTTTTATTAATACACAAAATATTATATTTTTATATATAAATATATATGCAGTGTATACATGCAAATATTTCTTAAATATATGCATGCATGCATGTGTGTGTATTTATATTTATGTATATTTATACATGTATTTTAACATAGATGATTTTGTTGAAATTGAAAGAACGACTTTTGATGAAGAAGTTATGAGTTGAAATTACAAACCAATCATTATATGTCATCGGTTTGCAGAAAAGGTGTATTTGGATGTGGCTGGGGATTGTGTGTGTGTGTGTGTGTCAGGTCAAGTAAAAACCAATTAAGTCAGCAGAGAAAAATATGGCGTCCTGTTTCTGCTGTCTTTGTTCCCTTGTGTCTCAAACACAAGAAGTGTTGTTTGTCCTGTTGTTGACAACTGTCCTCCATTACAGCGGACTCCACCGGCACTCACTCGCTCTACACGACCTACAAGGACTATGAGCTGATGTTCCACGTGTCCACGCTTCTGCCCTACACACCCAACAACAGGCAGCAGGTGTGTGTGTCGTCCTCTTTATGCTAATGAGCTCTCTTGTGATTGGCTAATGTCTTCACATAGGGGTTCTGATTACCTCGATTTCTTTTATTGTGTCCATCCATCCATCTCAACCCATCCATCCATCCATCCATCCCAAAACCAATCCAATCCATCCATCCATCTCAACCCATCCATCCAACCCCAATCCATCCATCCATCTATCCATTCTCAACCCATCCATCCATCCATCTATCCATCTATCCATCTCAACCCATCCATTCCAACCCAATCCATCCATCCATCCATCTATCCATCTCAACCCATCCATCCAACCCAATCCATCCATCCATCTATCCATCTCAACCCATCCATCCATCCCATCTCAACCCATCCACCCATCCATCCATCCCAATCCATCCATCCATCCATCTCAATCCAATCCCATCCATCCATCCATCCATCTCCAACCATCCATCCATCCCAATCCATCCATTCCATCCATCCCATCTCAATCCATCCATCCATCCCAATACATCCATCCATCTATCTCAATCCATCCATCCCAAAACCATCCATCCATCCATCTCAAATCCATCCATCCATCCATCTCAATCCCATCCATCCATCTCAACCCATCCATCCATCCATCTCAATCCGTCCATCCATATCCATCCATCCATCCATCCCATCTCCAACCCATCCATCCATCTCAATCCATCCATCCATCCATACATCCATCCATCCATCTAAATCCATCCATCCATCCATCCCAATACATCCATCCATCTCAATACATCCATCCATCTATCTCAATCCATCCCATCCCAACCATCCATCCATCTCCAATCCATCCATCCATCCATCTCAATCCATCCATCCATCTCAAACCCATCCATCCATCCATCTCAATCCGTCCATCCATCCATCCATCCATCCATCTCAATCCATCCATCCATCTCAAACCCATCCATCCATCCATCTCAATCCGTCCATCCATCCATCCATTCTCAACCCATCCATCCATCCATCTCCAATCCCATCCATCCATCCCAATTCCATCCATCCATCCATCTAAATCCATCCATCCATCCATCCCAAATACATCCATCCATCCATCCTTCAATCATCCATCCATCCATCCAATCCATCCATCTCAATCCATCCATCCATCCCAATACATCCATCCATCCATCTCAATCCATCCATCCCAATACATCCATCCATCCCAATACATCCATCCATCCATCTCAATCCATCCATCCATCCATCCATCTCAATCCATCCATCCATCCCAATACATCCATCCATCCCAATCCATCCATCCATCCATCCATCCATCCATCCATCCATCCATCTATCTCAATCCATCCATCCATCCATCCATCCCAAACCAATCCAATCCATCCATCCGTTTGTCCATCCGTCCCTCCATCCATCCGATGTTAAGTTAAAGTAGAACTTATGAATATAGTTTAAATCCAAATAATTATTTATAAATTAAATATATAGATTTTAATCTGTGACTATAAACTTAAATCTGAATACATAAACATTTATAAATATGATGATTTTTTTAAAAAATGTTTATTGAGAGTTTTCGTCTCAGGTTTTGAACGTCTAATTATTTCAAACTCTTCTGAACTGTACGGTATATTAGGATTTCTTTTTTATTTTCTTTATTTTATATTTTTAAAAAGTTTGTGCATATGCATTTTTTTTGGGAAGAAAACAAAAAAATATGTGACAAAGATGGAATTCAATAGAATTTTGTCACTTTTGTTAAAAATCGGGATTTGATTTCCAGTTACAATTGTCAGATTTGGTAAATGCATTAAATGTAATCTCACTAAATATATTTGATATGTTTTTTAAATATCAGAATAGGTTTATAGTCTATCAAATGCAATAACCTCAGTAGTAGAGCCACTCCGGCCGCATCACTGTCACTTCTGTCTCTGACAGTCGATTGGCAGGATTAGAAGATTTTCTGTCTTTTTCTTCTCCAACTTCAATTCTATTCGATTGTGCAGGATTAGCAAATAAATCCTTGGCCGTAAGCCTCCAGAAGACTCCAGCACAGTTCAGCCTCTCATCTTCTCATCCTTCCGTCTCACACATAATCCTGTTTGTAACCCATGGCCACTCACAGGAAGGCGGGCACACAGTTAATATGACGTCCCTATAGAGCGGCTCAGGGTTAACAGAATATATGACGTTCCTGACTCTGTCGCCATTGAATCTTTGAGATATCTGTCCTAAAGAAAAAAATCCAGAATCAGATACTTATGCATGAGCTCAAGAGATTTTAAATAGTCTTCCCAGCATCTGCAGCGTCTTCTGTGTCATTTATGGCACCAAAATTACACCAGATGGCACATTGCATTTTTAACAAATATTTCTCTTATATTTTTAATGTTTCTTTTCAAACCTCCTCAGACTGGAATCCGTCCAGCAAATGAACGTGAACGTTTTGCCACACCTGCTAATTTTAGTTGAAAATGCATTTTATGTATATACTTTTATAGGCTGTGAAACGGTATTATGCAATATTTTCAACAACATAAAATTATTATTATTGTTTATTTATTTAACTAACTCTTATTTGGCTATTGGCAAGTGTTCATTTTGAACCCTGATTACCAAAAAAAAAAAGATTTAAAATGTGTTTGAGTTGTATTTAGTACATATGAACTGGATTGATATGTCATATTGTTTCAGGGCTGATGTTTCACATTTCCGAAACCCTCACTTCCTGTTCATGATGGTGTTTGAACTGTTCATTGAACATGGACAAGTCCATTCACCTTTGTTTGTTCTCTTCTCTCACCAGTTGCTCAGAAAGAGGCACATAGGAAATGACATCGTCACCATCGTGTTTCAGGAGCCCGGTGCCTTGCCCTTCACACCCAAAAACATCCGGTCCCATTTCCAGCATGTGTTCGTCATTGTTAAAGTTCACAATCCGTGCACTGAGAATGTCTGCTACAGGCAAGTGAAGCGCACACAACCATGCCTTTCATTTACTTTGATGGCTATTAAGAGAAATGAAGTGATTGTATTTGCAATTGATGTCTGTTACTTTGAAGAGAAAAGCATCAAGGAAACTTTAGAATTGCAGTTTGAACATGAAATGCTGGAATCAATAATGTGTCTAAATGCTTGCCTGTAATTTTGAATCTTCTTTTTAAACGCAGTATTGCAATTAAATTAATCATCCACGTGTCGTTCCAAACAGCTTTCTCTTATCCATGGCACACATCAGACATTTTTAAAGATGGTTTGAGTGCTTTCCCATGTAATGAACCTGCAGTAACCAGTGTCTAAAGCCAGAAAAGGGGTAAAACATGTAAAAGTAATTTAAAAACAATATGATAATATTGTTAATATAATAAAATAATATATGATAATATAATAAAAAGTCAATATGACTCCTATTATAAGTCTTCTGAAGTCATAGGCTACTGTAGCTTTGCACAAGGAAGTTAAAGTTGATTTTAACTAGAGCTAAAACTAAAATAATTAAATATTTTAAAAATATTAATACTAAAATATTAGATGAAAAACTTTAAACACCTAGAAATGTTGTGAACTTTTTGCCACACCCTCTAACGTTAGATGAAAATAAAATTAGAATAAGTAAAAATGTATTCAGTGGTATTTTTTGTAACATAAGATGTATTTGATTATTATTATTTATAAATATATTTATTTATTTTACTCTTATTTGGCACTTGGCAAGGATTAAAAATGTAATTTGTTTTATTTTTTATTCATTGGAGTTTCTTTTAGTACGTATTAGCTGAATTGAACTGGAATGATGTCATCTTTTGGGGGGCAAAACTCTTATTTAAAGCAATTTGTTAAATTAAACTAATAAAAATGACAAAAGCACAACATAATTTCTCAAGCTGAAATTTATTTCAATATAAAAATTAGATGAAAAATGTTAACTTAATGTTAATTTAGAAATGTTTCCATGGCGACTATGTGACATAAGTTGAAGCACTAAAATCACTAAAACTACAACTGAAATATACATAAATATATACATTTAAAATATATATAAATACAGACATGTTTAAAAATAATAATGTAAATGACAAAAGCACATAACAAAATTACCCAAACTGAATCTAATATAACTGAATATAAAAAGAAAAGCTTTCAGCATAAAAAAAAGTGCAGCATAAAAGTCTGAAAATGTGAATATGTCCTTGCGTTTTCACTAAATGACAGTATATATTTCAATCGGTTAATCAGAAAAATCTGTTGTATGACTTCAGAAAATGAAGTTTAGCCATAAGTCATATGGACTACTTTAACGTTGTGTTATTTTTGGAGTTCACTGAAGAGAGAAATGATGAGTTTTGCTTTCTCTTCTAAATGTTTTTGTATCCGTGAAGTGCATCTTGAATTGCATTAGCTACACCACACGCTCCAATCTCTCTTTGCAGTGTTGCAGTTTCCAGATCGAAAGACGTGCCTCCGTTCGGCCCTCCCATTCCCAAAGCCGTGACCTTTCCCAAGTCCGCCGTCTTCAGGGACTTCCTGCTGGCTAAGGTGATCAACGGGGAGAACGCGGCGCACAAATCCGAGAAGTTTCGTGCCATGGCGACCCGCACGCGGCAGGAGTATCTCAAGGACCTCGCGGAGAACTTCGTGAGCACCACGACGGTGGACTCCGCGGTGAAGTTCAGCTTCATCACGCTGGGCGCCAAGAAGAAGGAGCGCGTGAAGCCGCGGAAGGACGCGCATCTGCACAGCGTGGGGGCCGTCACCTGGAGCGTGGTGGCGCGGGACTTCGGACAGTCTGCGGACGTGGAGTGCCTGCTGGGGATCTCCAACGAGTTCATCGTGCTGATCGAGGAGGAGTCCAAGAATGTGATTTTTAACTGCTCCTGTCGGGATGTCATCGGTTGGTCTTCCGGCGTCATGAGCATCAAGATCTTCTATGAGCGCGGAGAGTGCGTGATGTTTTCCGCACACGACAACTGTGGAGAGGACATTAGAGAGATCGTACAAAGACTTGAGGTAAGAGCATTCTTCTACTTTAACTATCCTACCATATAGAGCCCGACCGATAAAGGATTTTGAAAGCCGATCCTGATTAGGGCTGTCAATCTTCCTCTATAATACTATTCGAATTCCATTCCTTATTTTATGCAATATTCGAATAGTAAATGCTCAAATTTATCCTATTATTAATATTTACGACATTACACATTCTTATGGATCGTCAATGCCACTATAGCCTGTAGTTGTTGTTACACGTTCGGCCCACTGGAGGGACATCTAAAATTACTACAATAAACATTTAGGGACTGTTTACACTTGGCCACTTCATGCGTTTTCTCAGATCTGATTTATCAAAACGATTCCATTTACACCTGGTCACATAAATGTGTTTTACAAAACAGATATAAATCCGATCTTCAATTCCCGCGCTATATACAGATGAAGTGCACGTCACCGAAAGCAACAGATTTGAGCTGCATTTTATTGATCATCGGCTAATTTCAAAATCAGCAAAGACAGCAATAAGAGAGAGCGGCAACAGCCCTGTTCATATCATTTCATTCCTTTACTTTTAATGAAGATGGTCGTGTTAAGCGTCTGCGACTTACTTTCACTTTGATTTGCGATAGATTGCGGCGCGTTTGCTTGATGAATAGGGGCTCAGATCTGAGGTGATGTGATCGTCATATCGCGTCGAAAGTTCCAGGATTCTCCCGCATATTGATAGCGTCTCCCTGATGGCCGCAAATTAGTTAAAATCTCCCGGAATCCCGCGCGTGCATGGCAGAGAGGGAGTGAACGAGACCTTGCGAATGTGCCACGCGAAAGCTAGTCCCGCGCTCTCCTATTGTTAATAAGAAAGCGATAAGGGGCCGTTTACACCTGGTCACTTCGGAAGTATATATTTATTTTTAAATATATATAAAAGCAATATTGGAATAGTAACTTTAGCATTCGAATAGTATTGATTTTTTTAATATTCGAATTATATTCGAATTTCGGAATTCGTTCCAACAGCCCTAATACCGATACAAATATTTTTGGGTTTTAAAATACGATATTCCGATATATCGGCCGTTTTTTTTTTTTTTTTTTTTTTTTTTTTTTTTTCAGAAACGCGCAACAAAACATTAACAGATTTCCCTTACATTATTTATGAGTTTTAACTAAAATAATATGATAATGCATTTAAAAAGAAACTTGTTTCGTTTATTGTTAGAACAGACTGATGATAGGGGCGTTAGCTAGCTTTGTGGTTAGCTAATCTATGATGAGCCATAATTTAGCAATGGATAACGTCATACTGCAAATTGTAAAACATACATTTTCAATATAACAGGCCGAGGAGAGATGATGCGTCTCATTGCTATAACTGTCATGCGCTATTAAAGAAATACTTCAGTCACATTTTCAAAAGTTAAAAGGACAGTTAGTCAACGAAACGTAACTATTACTAGCTGATTCCGCTTCACTCTCGGCTTATTTAACAGCAACAAAACTGGACATGATAGTCACGAATTTTGTCATGCTTATTTGACTTAAGAGAACTGATGCGGATGTTCTTTTAAATGTTATTCAAGCAATGTATGTATCGTGACCAACTCAACGAGTGTTGCCAACAGGAACGGTGTAGAGTGCCCTCTTGTGGACAAACTATACAACTCCAACACTCATGACATGGTTCAAGCGTGTTTCGTCCGTTTTTATTTTATTTTTGTTTAATTTATTATTGTAGCGATAGTTTGGAAAATGCCTAATATCGGCCGATAATATCGGTCTGCCGATATATCGGTCGTGCTCTATAATCATACTACTATCAATGGGCGGCAGTGGCTCAGTGGTTCATGTATGGTGTCTACAAACCGGAAGGTTGGTGGTTCAATCCCCAGTTCCAAGTGTCGAGGTGTCCATGAGCAATACGCCTAACCTCAGCTGTGTGTGTGTGTGTGTGAGAGAGACACCTAACCCCAGCTCCCGACATTCTTCAAAATATCTTCTTTTGTGTTAGATAGAAAGAAACTCATACTGGTTTGAAACGACTTGAGGGTGAGTAAAATATGACAATTTTATTACCTCAATATATATATATTATGAATTTCAGTGCTTAGAAACATTGCAATATGATAAATACGATTTTATTTGTCATATTACACTGTTTCTAAGCACCGAAATTCATAATATATTTATATTGAGGTAATAAAATTGTCATAAAAGACTTCAAACGTTTGTTTAATTTGAGAATTTAAACTAGCAACCAAACCTCCCATGATGCTCTATTCCTGTTCTTCTTTTTAATGTGTCTTCAGGATACTTTCATTCCGATGTCTATCTTCTCATCTCGGTCCTTTTGAATGCAAACATGCTAATTCTTCTCCTCTCTCGCCTGGAGAAGCGAGTGCTTCCAGTTGTGGTGTTTTATCTCTGGGAAACGATCTAATTATTCCTTAACTGACTATTCTTTGGGGAAATTCAGGCTTAGTGTTTTATCAGAAAGTATCTGTAATTAAACGTTTCCGTCTTCTTCCTGTACATATGTTCACGACTACCTGTGAAGAACTGGGCCTGATGAAATCTGTGGCTTCTGAAGCATCGTAATCTTCTTATAAGGTTTCTCTGGGGTGATATCGATGACCGGTGCGGGTCTAGTGTTCCTCTTGGCGCTGGTCCTGATCTATGTTCTTGGCTCTTGTCAATGCCCAGGCCAGTTAAACTCACTCAAGTCTGTTAGTATTTGGCTTTCAGAGGCCGTCTAGGCTGTCGTAGCTTCTTGGATCCCATTTCCCATAAATAACGTGACTCAAAGCCGCCCTCAGTCCCTGTAGACCTTTTCTAATCCACATTTTAGTGACGTAATACTGCTAGAAGAGCGAGACGCGGCGCAGTGGGCAAAGACGTCCGTACAGCACATTTATGGTATTTTAAAAACATTTCATAATGTTTTAATAACATTGTACAATAATAATGTTTTATTTTTTTTTTCAAATAATTCATTAAAAACAAATATTTATATATGAAGTACTATTAGTATTTATAATATGAAATATTATGTTTAGTTAATATATAATAATATATTTAAATTTTCACTTGTATTTTGTAAATAATTTAAACAAATTTGTATTTATTGTTGTATTTATTGTCATGTTTTACATATAAATATTTATGTATGTTATATATGAAGAGTTCAGATGCAAAAGCCTCTAAATGCCATTTGAAATTTTCTTCTTTAATGATGATTTTTGTCAAACTTGTATATTTAAGTTCAGTAATTTCACTTAAATAACAATTAATAGGTAATCATCATTGCAATTTAAGTGAAATTACTGAACTTAAATATACAAGTTTGATAAAAATCATCATTAAAGAAGAAAATTTCAAATGGCATTTAGAGGCTTTTGCATCTGAACTCTTCATATATATATATATATATATATATATATATATATATGTATATGTATATAATAATAATATATATGTATATATGTGTTATGCATTCCTAATATTATTAAATATTAAATATATGATATTTAATATATTAAAAATATAAAAATAATATAATATTGTAATATATAATAATAATGATTTTATATATATATATATATATATATATATTTATGTGTGTGTGTGTATGTATATTGTATATATATATATATATATATATATATATATATATGTGTGTATGTATATAATAATATATATGTATATATGTGTTTATGCATTCCTAATATTATTAAATATTAAATATATAATATTTTAATAGATTAAAAATATAAAAAATAATATAATATTCTAATATATAATAATAATGATTTATATATATATATATATATATATATTAAAAACATACATATATTTATTTATATATTACAAACGTCTATTATCATCATTGGTACCAACAAATTCTTTAGAACAAAATCTCAATTAAGCAATTTGAATCTCTGTGAAATGTATACAGGATGGACAGTTTAGTGGGTTTAGTACACCATTGGAAGCAGTTTTTGTCCCAGGAGTGCGCTTATGATGCCTTTAAAATCCTGTATAGTATAGACTGCACACACTGTTTTGGATCAGAGCTATTGATTTACCATGTGCTTTCCCTGTTTATCAGCAGTGAGGACACAGATAGTTCAGGCTGTGACGGATGAGCTCATCTGGGTTACCTGGATGGTTTGGGGACAGGGAGATCTCCAGGGATTAAGCACATGTGGGATTAGCATCACTCCTGTTTTTGGCCTCATTTCCTGAAGGCACTTTGTGTGCTCGGGACTGCCGTCCGATGCGACGCTCCCAGAACAGATGTTTCTCATTCAGTCGTAATGAGACGAGCCCCGGGTCACCTGTCTGAGCGGTTAGGTGATTTGATGGAGATTAGATATCCCCCAGTTAGTGACACAATGGGATTGCCTTCATATTAGGAACCAGCGTCTGCATGCAGAAACGCAGAGTGGGAATGTCTATTGTCTGAATTGGTCATGTTTCGGTGTCATATTTCAAAAATGTCTTCTTGCAATATAAACTCACGCAGCGAGCGGTTTAAAACGGAAGAGAACAGGATTGTGGGCCGGTGTGAGGATGAGCGGATGAGGACTGCTGTGAGTCTGCCAAATCCACAGACGTAGACCCCTCCAGCCGAGGAGCAGAGAACACAGATGGGGAAGCGGACAGTCCAGAGCAGACCGGTGTATTCTGACAGCTTCTGGCCCGATCTATCTATCTATCTATCTATCTATCTATCTATCTATCTATCTATCTATCTATCTATCTATCTATCTATCTATCTATCTATCTATCTATCTATCTATCTATCTATATACCTATCTATCTATCGGTCTATCTATCGGTCTATCTATCTATCTATCTATCTATCTATCTATCTATCTATCTATCTATCTATCTATCTATCTATCTATCTATCTATCTATCTATCTATCTATCTATCTATCTATCTATCTATCTATATACCTATCTGTCTATCTATCTATCGGTCTATCTATCTATCGTTCTATCTATCTATCTAT